GTTTTTTTTAATGAAATATTGTTGGATTCGGTTTGCTCCGGTTATGTTGAAGATTTTTGCATCTGTGTTCATCAGAGATACCGGTTTGTGGTTTTTGTTTTTGTTTTTTGTTTTTTGTAGTCTCTTTATCTAGTTTTGGTATCAGGTTAATAATTCCTCATAGAAGAAATTTGGAGTCTTTCCTTCCTCTTTTAGTTTTTGGAATAGTTTGAACAAAATGTGTATTAACTCTTCCTTAAACGTTTGGTAGAATTCTGATGGGAGTTTTTCAATTACTTATTCAATTTCATTGCTACTAGTCAGTCTGTTCAAGTTTTTTATTTCTTCCTGATGCAGTTTTGGGAGAATATTATGTTTCTAGGAATTTATCCATTTCTTCTAGGTTGCCCCATTTATTGGCACATAATTTTTCATAATATTCTCTTTAATCCTTAGTATTTCTGTGGTGTCAGTTATTATTTCTTCTCTTTCATTATTTTATTCAAGTCCTTTTTTTTTTTTTTTTAATGAGTCTGGCTAAAGGTTTATCAGTTTTATTGAACCTTTCAAAGAACAAGCTCCTGGTTTCATTGATCTGTTCTATTGTTCTTTTAGTCTCTATTTCATTTATTTTTGTTTTAATCTTTACTCTTCCTTCCTTCTACTGGCTTTGGGCTTTGTTTATTCTTCTTTTTCTAGTTCCTTTAGGTATAAAGTTAGGTTGTTTGAGATTTTTCTTGCTTCTTGAGGTAGGCCTATATTGCTATAATCTTCCCCTGAGAACAGCTTTTGCTGCATTCCAAACATTTTGGACCATTGTATTTTCATTTTCATTTTTCTCCATGTATGTGTTTTATTTCCTCTTTGATTTCTTCGTTGACCCACTGTTTAGTAGCGTGTTATCTTATCTCCATGTATTTGTTCTTTCCACTTTTTTCTAGTTTCATGCCATTATGGTCAGAAAAGTTGCATGATACGATTTCATTCTTTTTGAATTTGTTGAGACTTGTTTGTGGCCTAACATATGATCTATACTGGAGAATGTTCCCTTTGCACCTGGAAAAGAATGTGTATTGCATTGTTTTGGGGTGGAATGTTCTGAAATAACTTTTAGATCCATCTGGTCTAATGTGTCATTCAAAGCCACTGTTTCCTTGTTGATTTTGTGTCTGGATGATCTATCCATTGATGTAAGTGGGGTGTTAAAGTCCTGTACTTGTTGATGTATTACAATAATTTTTTTCCTTTATGTCTGTTAATAATTGCTATATGTATTTAGTCACTCCAAATAAATATTTGCCATTGTTCTATCCTCTTGTTGCATTGTTCCCTTTATCATTATGTAGTGTCCTTTGTTGCTTGTTACAGTCTTTGTTTTAAAGTCTGTTTTGTCTGGGATACAAGTTTTGCTACTCCAGCTTTCTTTTCACTTCCATTTGCATAGTAAATAATCTTCCATTCCTTCACTTTTTTTTTTAAGATTTATTTATTTATTTGAGAGAGCAAGTGAGCACGGGGAGGGGTGGAGGGAGAGAGAGAATCCTCAAACAGAGGCTCCCTGCTGAGGGTAGAGTCCGATATGGGGCTCAATCCCAAGACCCTGAGATCATGACCTAATTTTAAGAGTTGGATGCTTAACTGACTGTTTCACCCAGACACCTCTCCATCCCTTCACTTTCAATCTTCATATGTCTTTAGGTCTGAAATGTGTCTCTTGTAAGCAGCATATAGATGGTTCTTGCTTTTTTTATCCATTCAGTCAGCCTCTTTTTTTTTTTTTTTTTTTAAGATTTACTTATTTATGAGAGAGAGAGAGAATGAGCAGGGGGGAGAGGCAGAGGGAGTGGGAGAGAAAATCCTCAAGCACACATCGCGCTGAAGGTGGAGCATGAAGCTGGGCTCAATCCCAGGACCCTGAGATTATGACCTGAGCCAAAACCAAGAATTGAATGCTCAACTGGCTGAGCCACCCAGGCACCCCAGCCTATATCTTTTGATCGGAGCATTTAGTGTATTTACATTCAAAGTAATTAATGATATGTATGTACTTACTGCCATTTTGTTACTTGTTTTACAGTTGTTTTTGGAGTTCTTTGTTTCTTTTATCTCTTGCTCTCTTCCCTTGTGGTTTGATGGCTTTCTTTAGTGATTTGCTTGGATTCCTTTCTTTTTATTTTTTTGTATATCCATTACAGGTTTTTGATTTGTGGGTTCATATATTAAATCTTAGGTGTATAGGTATCTATATAAGGTTGATGGTTGCTTAAGTTTGAACCAATCTTAAATGCACTAAATTTTTTACTCACTCGCCTCCCCAGCCCCCAACACACACACATTTTATGTAGATGGTGTCATATTACATCTTTTTATTTTGTGAATCCCTTGACTTATTTTTATGGGTATAACTGATTTTAATGCTTTGGTGCTATAACCTCCATACTGGTTTTATATATAACTGATTATTCATCTACTACTTTTATTTTATTTGCATTTACCTGTGAAATTTTTCCTTTCCTAGTTCTCTTACTCCTGATTATGTCCTTTTTTTCCATTAAAGAATTGCCTTTAACATTTCTTATAAAGCTGGTTTAGTGGTGATGAACTGCTTTAACCTTGTTTGGGAAACTCTCTCTCCTTGTATTACTAATGATAACCTTGCTGGGTAGAGTATAATTGGTTTCAGGTGTTTTCCTTTCAGCACTTTGAATATGTCATGCCACTCCCTTCTGGCCTCCAGTGTCTGCTGAAAAATCAGCAGATCGCCTTACGGGGTTTCCCTTGTATATAACTTTTTTTTATCTTGGTGCTTTTAAATTCTCTCTTCATCACTACTTTTTGCAATTTTAATTATGTCTCTTGGTGTGAACGTCCATGGGTTGATTCTTTTGAGGTCTCTGTGCCCCCTGGATCTGGATTTCTCTTTCCTTCCCCAGATTCAGGATGTTTATAGCTATTATTTCTGCAAATAAATTTTCTGCCCCCTTTCTGTCTCTTCTCTGAGATCTGTGCAGTGCATATGTTAGTACACTTGATGTCACTGAGTTCCCTTAACCTAGTCTCATTTTTTTATTCTTTTTTCTTTTTGCTGTTCATCTTGGTTACTTTCCATTACTCTGTCCTCCAGCTCACTGATCCATTCTTCTGTTTCCTCTGGTCTACTATTTATTTCCTCTAGTGTATTTTTAACTTCAGTTCTTCATCTATGATTGATTCTTTTGTATTTTCTCTTTGTTAAGGGTCTCACTGAGATCCTTCACTCTTCGCAGCTCTTTATGATCATTATTTTGAATTCTCCATCAGGCATATAGCTTATCTCCATTTCATTTAGCTCTTTTGCTGTGATTCTGTCCTGTCCTTTCATTTGAGACATATTCCTCTGTTTCCTCGTTTTGTCCAACTCTCTGTGTGTTTCCATGTATTAGGGGAGTCAGCTATGTCTCCTGCTCTTAAAAGTAGTGGCCTTATGAAGAAGAGGTCCTGGAATGGTCTGTAGTTCAATGGCCTTTGTTCACCAGAACCAGGCACTTCGGGCAGAAGTGTCTCCTATATGTGTTACATGTGCCCTACTGTTGTGGCTGAGCTGCTTTTGCCTTCAGTCCAGCTGGCTGCTTCAGTGCATTTTCCTGTTGTGGGCAGGGTTTGGTCCCTGTGCTGTAAAGGGCCAGTCTGGGGCCACCTTGGGCTTATAGTTGGCTCAGCCCAGATGCCAGCCCCCAACCTGTTGGCTGGTGCTGCAGTCACACCTAACTGCAGGGTGCTCTCCCTGTGCTGTCACTGTGGGAACTTTCGATAATAGTTACAGTCTATTTTACCTGGGTGCACACCACAGAGAACCAGGGACATTTATTTTCATATTCTCAGCTTCCGGTCTTGTTAGTATTTTCAAGTATTTAAAATAAGGTCTTTTAGTTACCGTGGTCCTTCCGGGTCCTTGCCTATCCTACCTCTCAGTCTGAGCTCCTGTACTACCTTGTGTAAATGCCAAGGCGCAGATGGGAAGGTATGTGTGCATTTTGCAATTTGCTGTGATTTGAAATGATCTGTAGTGTATCTCCCTTTCCATAGAATTGACTATAGGGTGAATGAAATTGCACTTACAAAACAGGATTTTTTTGTTAGGTATGGCAATAACATAACTAGATCAGCCTTAGGATTTTAGAATCCTCACTGTTGTCGTTTTAATGACAACTACAATTGTCATTTATAGAGTGCCTTACAATTTTTAAGACAGCTTTACATTCATCATCTACTTTGATGGTCACAATTTGTGAAGTTCTAATGTTAATGTCACCTATATAGCTTCCTGTCTCATCCAGTTGCCGTTGGAGTTCAAATCCGATGACATTGAATCCTCAGAGATAAATTAACATAATTTAAAATTCTAACATATATTTTCTAGTTTTTTACTCTTTGTATTTTGCGCTGTAATTTGGGTGTCAAGGTTGTGAATGTTGTGTAGTAGTGGTTGGTACAGAAAGACCCAGCAAACAACTTGTAGTGTTTTGTAGCCAGATGAGGCCTAGAACTGCTGGCCTTAGTATTCTGACCTTTGAAATGAAGGTAGTTAATAGCAGGATTGAACATCAAGAATTTTGTTGATTCCTACAGAAATAAGGAAGAGAAATCCCTACCCCTGACAAGGCTATGCCTTCCTTGCCCACACATTTCAGCTCTCACGTCACATCCAGGGCTGTTCCTGAAAATAGAACTAGGATGTCATAATTCCGACTCTCCAGCTGTTTCATCTAAACTCTTACATTTTGTGTAAAATGGACATGCTATTGTTAATTGGGCTGTTTTTTTCTCTTAAAATGGTTCTTTTGAAAGAACTATTTCTTAAAATAGTTCTCGGTTCTTATTGAGTCTAGTTGGAAAAGTCTTCATTGTAAACAGAAAATAATTGATGGTGAGTGTATGGAATTGAGCTTGTCTATTTATTCTTTTATTGTTTGAGCCAATTTTTTCTTATCCAAACAAAATTCTGAAGGTTAAAACATGGACTTCTCTCCTTTCTTTGCCAGTGCGCAAATCTCCAGGGAGTCAAGATGCTCTGTTCTAATGCAGAAGGAGCATCCCTGAAACTGTGTAATTTTGAAGATCCTTCTGGTCTTAAAGCCAATTTAGAAGGTGAGCTTCTATCTATAATTATGTTTTCTAAGGTGAGAACACCATGAAATAAAAAGCCCAACAAAATAATTGTTACGGGAAAGTCATGACCACTATAGGGGGATATAGATTTCTTCTCTCCTCATACTTGGAGAATAAACAAGAGTAAGGCCTATCTTGGTCTCAGTCATGTGTCACGCAAGAAGTTAGGGAAAAATCTAGCCTTTAATATTGAATAAGGCTTTAGTTGGAGAATTAAATATCAGCATCTCAAACTTTGAAACTAAACAGCATACCCTTACACTGACTAAAATGAATTTCAGTTTGCACAAAGCCAGGCAGTTTTTGTCATTGTTAGATTTAATGTTTTGTTTATGAATTCCTATTGCTCTGTTGTGTCAGTGAACTGGTCACTTTGTTTAGTTGTATGTTTAGAATACAGGGTATTTACCTTCCTTATCATAAACTTATGGAGGCTGTTATAAAAGTACTTCAGACCGAATTGAATTCCTCGCTCAAAAATACAGACTAAAACATTCTTAATTCATAGTATAAGCAAACAGTTTTTTAACAATGAACTCTTTCTATGTGGAAGTTGGTTGAGAGACTGAGATTTATGGTTCACAGAGTTCTTTCCAAAAATTAAAGGAGCTTGTCATCATTCACCTCCATTAAATCATCCTGCGGTTTTTTAAAGGTAGATGACTATAAATATTTTTAAGTTCAACTGCTCCCCAAATATGTTCACTTTAGGTGCTAATCTGAAAGGTGTGGATATGGAAGGAAGTCAAATGACAGGAATTAACCTGAGAGTTGCTACCTTAAAAAATGCAAAGTTGAAGAACTGTAACCTCAGAGGAGCAACTCTGGCAGGAACTGATTTAGAGGTGAGTCACCAATTTCTAAAGAGTTTTTGTTAATCTACAATTACGGAGTATCTCATGCAAAATTTATTGAAATCATAAAGTAGTTGGCTGGCAAAAACTGCCAAGTGGCATACCAGCACAGCTGGAGGGATGTCTTTTTATCGATTGCTTGGTTCAACCAGCTGAAACCCCAGGGCAGGATTCAGTTACACAAGTCATAGATACCAGCCTCCGATTTGAAGATTCATCTGACGTTTGCTCTAAGTTGATTTCATTTCTCCTCTTTTCCTTGGGTCTCCTTCAGGTAGATCAGTTTGATGGGTATTTTTATTAATCTGACTTACTGTGTTTTTTTTTAAGATTTTCATTTATTTGACACAGAGAGAGATAGAGAGCACAAGCAGGGGAACCAGCAGGCCCAGGAAGAAGCAGGCTCCCCGCTGAGCAGGGAGCCTGATGCGGGGCTTGATCCCAGGACTCTGGGATCGTGACCTGAGCTGAAGGCAGATGCTTAACCAGCTGAGCCACACAGGTGCCCCTTATTTTTTTCTTAAGTTTTAATTCCAAACAGAATTAAATGGGGTCAGATTTTTTTTTAACTACTTGAGAAATTTAAAAGATATCCAGGTTTGAAATCAGGTTCAAAGAAAGCCTGTTCTAAATCGGAATCATGTTCTTTTTGAATCTCATGTCCATGCATCTCTTTCATCAGAATTCTGTATGTTGTCTTGACTTGGCAAATGCAGCTAGCAGACTTCAGCGCTGTTGATGGGTCTCTCAGTGCTGTCCAGTAGCACTTTTTGCAATGCTAGACACGTTCTAAATCTGTTTAGTACAGTAGCAACCAGCTACTAGGGCTGTTGAGCACTTGAAATGTGGCCAGTGCTACTGAGAAATGGATTTTTTATTTTATTTCATTTTAATTCATTTAAATATAAGTAGCCATGTGTGGCTGTTGCCATCATATTGAACAGTACAGCCCTGTCCCAGAAAATCTGGCCTGGGTTGGATTGGAGAGAATAGTAGGTCAAAATTTGGCTTGTTATTGATTTGTTTCTTTTAATGTTTTTGCCTGTTCTCTTGATAGATCTTAGCAACAGAGTGGCAGTCCCCATTAAACTTAAAGGAAAACGAACCAGTCTAAGGCCAAAAGTATAAACCTATTATAAGCACAATTATTTAATTTTTTATTATTGGTACTGTCAGACCAAAGATGATGATTTTTCCCCTCTTAGTTTTAGTTAACCATGTAGTCAAAGTCTTCCTGATTGCAACTGATTGCAAAGACTAATCCGGTTGACTGTTGAAGGGCAGCTGGTGACATTCTGTCCTAAAAGGTTATATGCCATTGCCCAACATCCCCAGGGACTTATCCAAAAATCTGTCTCATCTGCCATTCTGTAATCTCAAGAGAAATTTAAAAACAGCTCCCAATTGTGGTGGTAGTTAACTGTTGTATACATTTGCTAAAAATCACTGAACTGCATATAATTTGGGGGTTTAAAAAAAAGGCAGTTCCCTGCTATAAAAATGTTCGAGTTGAGGAATGGCAAAAATCTCTTACATAATTTAATTTAGTAAGTAAAATCTCTTTTGCTCAGATTTTTTTTAATAGTGTTTCCCAGCCCTACTCATGCCTTTTGTTGTCATTGTTAGATTGTAGTAAATTTGCATGGATAATATTTACTACATTGGAGTCCATTCTGGGTTTTATTTATTTTTTTTTAAAGATTTTATTCATTCATTTGACAGAGAGAGATACAGCGAGAGAGGGAACACAAGCAGGGGGAATGGGAGAGGGAGAAGCAGGCTTCCCGCCGAGCAGGGAGCCCGATGTGGGGCTCGATCCAGGACCCTGGGATCATGACCCGAGCCGAAGGCAAACATTTAACGTCTGAGTCACCCAGGTGCCCCTCATTCTGGGTTTTAAATGACTGATTCTAAAATATATGAACGGAAGAAACATGCTTCCTCTTTAACCTTTATCTCTATTTGTAATGGTCAGGCTGAGCATCACCTAGAGAAAACAAATCCAATCGAAGAAAATCTGACTTCTTTCCTAAAACAAGTTTTCCAGAAATAACTGATTTTCATGTGCCCCAGGAGTCCTTTTGATAGGGAACAGAGAAGGCCCTAAACCTCCATTTGAATCTCATGAATATTGTATTTGTCTTGCAGAACTGTGATCTGTCTGGCTGTGATCTTCAAGAAGCCAACCTGAGAGGTTCCAACGTGAAGGGGGCGATATTTGAAGAGATGCTGACACCCCTGCACATGTCACAAAGTGTCCGATGAGAATTTCAGGGCTGGAGGAAGGAGTCCCAGATGCAAAATGTTTTCCTGATCACTTTTTTTTTTTTCTCTACCCACTCAGTTGTCTAGAAGAAATAACACTGTAAGGGAATAAAAAAAAAAAAATTAGAGGATTATGCTTGTTCTCAGTGGTGCATAAAGGAAAAAAGTGACTTTTTTCCACATTCTGATTTTAACAAAGAAGCATTCATATAATGGTTGTAGGGAAGCTAGATTAGCTTGCTGCCTTTTGACTGGGGGTAGGGGGATTTGCCTGGCTTTATGACCAGGAATAGGATCTATTATATTTGCTTTTAAATAGGCATGATGTGGAAATCCATCTTGTTTTGAAATGTACTTGAGGATTTTAATTTATGAAAAGCACAACATATGCAATTATATTTATTGAATCTCTAAATGCAGTATGGATATTTAAATTGTTAAACTTTATGAAAATTTTGCAGAGTTCAGGTTTATTAATAGCTTTAGTGATGCACTCCCCTACTTTAAATACCTGTCACGCTGTGTGAATATGGTGAGATCAGATTTCCCAAGGCTCTCTTTTTCAGGTTCATTTTTATCATGTTTATTTTTTAGAACAAAGCAGTAGCTAAGTTAAATCCTCGGTTCTTACTGATTGAGACAGAGTGAAAGGAAAGACATCATTGTCAGCTCAATGATGGAACTCTCCAGATGGACAAAGAATTTACCTATTACTACAGCTTTTAAGTGAGCATCCTTAGAATTTCATTTGAAGCAAGTTCCACTCAACACCAGGCCAGGCAATTTTATCCACTTTACTAGCCTTGTCTTCTCCTGTACAGTCAAAACAAGCATAGGAAGATATGTCAAAAGCAAAAAGCCAAGGTGCATTATTAATTTAATTCAAATGCCAAATAGTTTAAACAGGGCCAGCTTAGAAATAGGTATTAATAAATCCCAGTCCAAGCTATAAAATATGAATGAATGTGGCAGTCATCTTTTGGGCCTCAACATAACTGCAGCTGAAACCCTACAGTGGGGAATAAGGGGATTTTAAACTGACAGTTTGATTATAGCCATCAAAAACTGAAATAAGAATAAAGGCATTCGGCTGGTCCAAGATGTAATACCAATCAGTCAGCACCTGTGGGTCTTTGACTTCTATTTTCTGGTTTCGTTTAAAGAAATTCTAGCCTGATTTTCTTGAGTCCTCATCTCTGCGGTAGCAGAAACAGGGCCCATCCTCCCTTACCAGTAACCAGTGTCCTTATGTCTGCCCCAAGAGCAGGGATATAAGCTGTGTCCAAATAGGTTCTGAATTCTACAGATTCTTCAGTTTGAAGCAATGAATCATTAAGAACTACTTTGTCTCCTCTGGGAGAATGACATGTCTTCAATATTCACATCGCTTCTTCTATATATACATATGCAAAGCTTTCCTTAACAGTAAAGGGTACAACATGCATAGTGGGAGATCGGACCTTTACAAGTGAGGGAAAGCAACTTCAGAAATGAATTATTTTCTTTGCTTTATTATTTTTACCAAGACAGAGAAGTATTGAGAGATATCTATTTTCATAATCAATATGTACCTAAATTATATTTAAATCATTTCACTCTGTACTATATATTTTCAAGAATTATAGAATGTGTTGTTGTTCATCCACTTAAGGGTACCTCTGTAGATGTAACTGAAAACTGCAGAAGAATCTGAAAGATCTAAACGTGGTTTGCTTAGCAACTGCGGATTTGGGATCTAATGTACACTGCATTAATAAATGATGTGAAATGCTGAAAAGGAGTTTCTTGTCGTGCTTTTGAAAATCAGCACTTTACCATATTTTGCTTACATTTCTTCAGCATATGTTGGTGACCAACCCCAAGGATCTGGGTGGAAAAGGGGGTGCAACACTTAGAACCAATTAGTCTCTTGGAAAGTGCCATTAAAGTAAATTTACTTCTTAAAGCGTGATTATTTTATGACCCTCTTTTTAAAATCCACCATGCTAACAACACAAAGAGATTTCATCAATTCTGAAACAACAAGACTGCCTCCCGATAATTCATCTAATTTGGGTTACTCTTTAGCTGATGAACATTACAAGTTAGCTTTATTAGGTTAAGAACATTTTCCCCAAAACATTCTCACCTGACTCCGGGGAGAGAAAATTTTGAGGGAGGAGTTTCAAAATAGTAGAACTTCTATTAAACCTAGTGATGGAACATGTCTGTACACAGATAAAAATACAGTTGGGGTGGGGGACTAGAAAAAAGTTTTAACCTAAATTATTAGATTACCTACATGGATAAAATTCAGTATTTGTGTAATTGTTCAGAGCCATGGGTATTATGTTGTAATATAATCTAGTTCTTCCAACTACAGTTTCAAAAAAATTTTAGTAGGAAATATTGCAAATTCATTTTCTTATGAAGGTTACTATCATAAATTAGGACTTGGAATATTTTCTCCAGTTGCTCATTTTATGAATTGGTGACTTACACTGTAAATCTATCCCCATGTCAACTTCAAATCATGTTTAATGAAAAGCCCTAGAATTTCATTAAATTTCCAAGGAGGTATTATCTTTAAAATTAAAAGGTACACCTCTGCGAAGAAAAGTGGTTACATTTTCTGTACAAAGCATCTTATGTAAGGATTAATTCTCTGAAAGCCTTTCACAACCTTTATGTCAGCAGGAGTTCACCATGGATTCCTCCTGCTGAGATTTTACATCAGGGCAAAAAAGAGGCTTGCATCCGTCACTCATCAAGATTACGGAGTCATTATTGTAGCACTTTAATAGTTTTGAGTTGTTTCTTTTAATAATGTTGAAAATGAAACCATTTTCCCTCTAAAGCCATACACTTGAAGATCTGGAAATTTCTAAATTGAGAAAAAACTTATGACAACTATAAAATCCAATTACTTAAAGCCAGTTTACTAAATTAAGCTTCATGATAAACAGGATCTATCCTTGGAACTATGAAAAGGTTCAAAGTTTGTCACTAAACATCAAAATTCCATTAATTTCATATTTGATCTCTTGATACTGTAGAAAATAAATCTGGCCTTTGCCCTTGAGATCTATGTGCCCTAAGAATACGACACAGATTTGGCATAAAGCATACTCCATGTGGCTGTGTTCATTCAAAAATTTCAAAACATGTTTCAAAAGTTTAATACCAACTGATTGAAATAAGCTACAGGAAATCCACTGATGCTTAACCAAAGTGATTAACATGACAGTAAGGGTCAGACATCTTAACTCCCATTTCCTTAGTCCTGACCAATGACACATCTGCTTAAGCAACACTGTTAGAAGCACACTCTTTCAGCAAATAGAAAATCAATTGGACAATTTGAACACTGTTCAAATATAATGAACTCTTGTTGAAAAAGAGCCTCTCACCTTTGTATTACAGTGAGGTAAGTCTCATGTCAAAATGGCACTTATTGTGTCTAAAGAAATAATTAATTTAAATGAAGTAAATCACTTTTTTTTTTTTAATTCCCCTGTTTGCAAGTATACTTGAAATCTTCCCTACCCCTCTCGTGAGACTCTGACAACCGCCACAGAAATGACTGGGGAAAGCAGGGAGTTAATTTGCCCTCAACATTGCTCTTTATGCTGACATTCTTGCAAATGTAATTGTTCCAGAGGACACTGGGCAATGACTGATTGGTTCAGATCCTACCAGAGGAGAAACTGCCAATCCCAGGTCTAAAACGAACAAATATCCAGTGATTTTTAACCATTTTACTTAGCTAATGTAATAGGCCTCACAGACAATCGTACAGGAAGGTTTAATTCTAAGTCAGATAAGACACATCTTTGGTGCAGAAATAGAGGAAGCATTAAGCCTAATCTGGTTTAAAGGTCCTTACTTTTCATTCATTCATTCATTCATTCGAACTTAAACATTGAATACTGACTAAATGTTAAGGATTTATTTTATTTATTTATTTTATGTGCATTTTTCAAA